TATGGCATCTTTGTGCCAAGTAGTATATCCACATTCGGTATTACTGATATATTTGATTTTAAATATATCTTCTCTATGCAAAACAAGTACATGTCAACGAAGTCTACTTTTTCTAAAATTTCTTACTAAAACATCATGAGAAGTGATAAAAGTCATTATTAAGGGCCTATGGCTCAAAGGAGTAGAGTGCTGGCCTCATATGCCAGAGGTGATGGGTTCAAACCCAGCCCTGGACAAAAACTGCAAAAAGAAAAAAAAGTCATTATTGATTAATGAGATTACAGATTATAACCAATATTTAAATTTTTTTTTTTTTTTTTTGCAGTTTTGGCCAGGGCCAGGCTTGAACTCACCACCCCTGATATATGGGGCTGGCACCCTACTCCTTGAGCCACAGGCGCCACTCTAATATTGAATTTTTAAAAAAAATTTTAGCCAGGGACAGGCACAGTGATTCATGCCTGTAATGCCAGCAGCCTAAAAAGCTGAGCCACTCTGAGGATTGACTGAGGTTAGGAGTTCGAGACTAGCCTGAGCAACAGCAAGACCCCATCTTTAAAAATACCTGGGTGTTGTGGCAGGCACCTGTGGTCCTAGCTACTTAGGAGGCTGAGGCTCAAACTCTTCTCAAAAGGAAAAAAGAAAACGAAAAAAATATTAGCCAAAGAAAGTTTGAGATTATAATAATATAGAATGTGTGGGGAAAAGTATACTGTATCTAATTAACTCTTACTCCAAAGGACTTATCATAAACATATCATATAAATATGCCTAATGATACAGTTTATAGTTGAAGACTTCCTCTTGCTCTATAGTTATCCTCTTCTGAAAAGAGTGAATACATATGTTCTACAATTTTTGTAAGGATAAAAATTCTAACCTTCCAAACATTTGGGTTTTTTGTCAACTTATTTAAACAACACAAAGATTATGAAGTATTCTGACAATTCACTACATGTCAATATACAAAAGATTTCTCCCCAGGATTTCTTCTTTTTTCTTCAATCCAAACCATTATTTTCACCCCTAAAATCAAAGATACTCACATAGAGATTAATCAATTGGGTTAGCACTATCTGGAAAACCCTACTTGTTCTTTGCTTAGTAGCATAGGAGAAAAAGAAATAGACTCTTTCTGTTTTGTATCTTAATAAGAAAATACTGACCAAAACAGAAAATATAAATGTCTAAACGTAATAAATAAAAAATTTGCAAAAACTAATTACATATTAAGTGTATATTTACAGATAATTTCAAATCATATTTCAGTCACTAATAATTCTCAAATGAAAATACAAGGAGATTTAGATTGTAGAACTGGCCATTTTCATCTAACCAGTACTAAGAATAAAATGAACACAAGGATAATCTGGCTTCTGAAAGATTATTTAATTATTTTAATTTTCTATTATTTAATTTTGATCAGGGACCATAATCACGATACTCAACACTTCAATGGTTTTTTCAACATATAGTTAAGTTTAGCTAGGCAGTAATAGTTGTCTTTTTTCCAACCTTCAAATTTATCTGGCACAAATATTTGAACTAATTTCAAATTTACTTAGCACAGTGTATTTGAATATATATACTGACTAGTCAGGAAAACAAAAGAAAACATTTTTTCAAATAGAAAATTTGGATTATTCCAGAAAAGAGTTCAGTGGCAGTGGTAGGGGTGAGATGAAGTAAGAACTCTTGCAACTTCTGACCACTATATTTAGGTAGCACACCAATTTATTTTAAATATTTTAAAAAATAACTGAGAGTTTTGATATTTTGGATAATCTTTGGAGAAGACCTTTCTATTTCAAGTGCGAAAGGAACAGGTGATTTTGAATTCTACAATGCAACACTTGATGCTGAAATAGTGATGACACCTCCCTCACACATATTTCAAAAATTTATGACTCAGTTTGTATTCTGATGACATTCCTTACTCAGACATGTAGGATCTCCTTGTAAATGTATTTTTATTAAGGACAAACATGTAAGAGCTAAGTCTATAATTCTCAAACTGACGTTAGAGAATTTCTGGGGCTCTCCAATTCTCTGAGAATTTTAAAATATTTTAAAGCCATCAGTCATAAACTATGAAATTAAATATTGTAAAAGAAAAAAAACTTCTAAATGCATACAGATAGCCAATTTTGGTGCCTGAGTTGGCAGTGTTTACAGCAGTGATGGAAAACAGGTTAAAATAGAGCAAAGGTCCTTTTAAAAAAATGTTAAAGACTGGGTGCAATGGCCATGCCTGCAATCTTAGCACTCTGGGAGGCCAACACAGTGGATTGTCTGAGCTCAGGTGTTTGAGACCAGCCTGAGCAAGGGCAAGACCCTATTTCTAAAAATAGCTGGATATTATGGCAGGCACCTGTAGTCCCTGCTACTTGGGAAGCTGAGGCAAACGCATCAGGGAGACCAGAGCCCAGAAGACTGAGGTTGCTGTGAGCTATAGGCCCTCTACAGAGGGTGACAAAGTGAGACTCTGTCTCAAAAGAAAAAAAAAAATGTTAGGGAGTCAGTTCAGGAGTCTAAGAGAAGCATAATAATATAGTTCTTAAAGACCATTTTGAAGTAAATATAAAGGATGAGTTGGAAGCAAACAAAAAAAAAAAAAGAGAGAGAGATTGGAACTATTGCTATAGTTTAGATAGCTAAGGAGAATAACCCATAAGAATCCATAAAACTAGGTGAACAAATTTGAGTATGGGATGAAAAAGAGGGAATTACTAAATCCAAAAATGAAAGATATAGAAAATATGTCAAGGGAAAATGGTCAATAGGTTGTTATTAAGAATGGAAAAAAAAATAGGTTGTTATTGAATGACTAAATTAAAAACACATTTTGGGGGGGGGGACTTTTAAGATCAATTAAGTATTCATAGATAATGCAAAATCTCTACTCTAGGAAATTATATCTAGTTTTATAATTATTACAAAGTGTAATCATGGTTTTGCAGAGAGACAGAATCAATAGGGCAGATACACATACCCATATATGTGTGTATGGATATATATATGTTTATAATACATACATGTGTGTTTGTATCTGTATGAAATGACTCATGTTATTAGGGCGGTTAAGTCCTGTGATCTGTAGTTGTAAACAGGAGACTCCAGAAAACTGGTGTTATAATTTAGTCCAACTCCAAAGACTTGAAAACCGAAAGAGGTAAAGGTTTAAATTCAAGCCTGAGGGCAGAAGACTGATGGCCTGGCTCAGATGTTCCAAGTAAACTGATGGTGCCCATAAACAGAAGGAAGGGCAATTTGCTTTACTTAGTCTACTAATTCAAATACGAACTTCATCCAAAAATACTCTTGAAAAGACACCACAGGAAAAGCAATATTTGATATACGTGGGTGGAAAGTTACTATTTCCAGCTAAATTCAGTGAATATCTGGATTACATTTTGTCATAATCTAGCAGGGGTTCCACACTCAATAAAGAAAAAATAAGATAGTTTTGACTAAAATAATACAACAGACATCTTAGTCAAGAAAATGCTTTGTTAATAAACCAATTTATAAATAGTTATAATCCAGAAGCATGTATTTTAAAACAAAAACAGACTCTTACCAAATAAACTTCAAAATACTAAATTATGCCATTATCTGTTTATATTTCCTGAGAGAAAAGATAAAAATCAATTTCTCTGTCTTTTTAACAATTCTCAAATTATTGTAAATTGTAAATGAAGATTCAAAAAATTGAAAATATTTCTACATCTTCAAATTTAAAGCTAGATTATCACCTTATTTCTCTTGCCTTAGGATGCCTCAACCGATTTTGTTAACATTCTTTAAAATTTTACTGGCCAAAACATGCCTCCTGAAAGTTAGCTTTTAAAGGGAAAATTCGTGAAGTGTACCGCGAAAGCAATCAAAATAGTTAAGAATCGGTTCTTCCTCAAACTACTAAAAATAATGCTTTTTCATACTCCAGCGCAAAAAACTGAAGTGAATGCATCTCCTTTCTAAATGATTACATTGATACAGATTTTTAAATATTTTGAAAAATAAGTAACTTTAAGTTGTAGTCTTTTTGGTAACAGCTGCAAATTTTCACTGAAATCTAAACCAAAAAAAGAAAGGATTCACAACAATATAAAAATATTTTCAAGTAAGCCCTTGAGTAAACATCTTTGCGCTGACGTTGGGCTGACAGTGAAACACGCAGTTGATAAACTACTACCTTACGAAGAGGTGAGGAATCTTAGTTTTGCAAACTGGCGTTTAATGAGGATAAATTTCCTATGACTATTGTTCTCTAGTTTATTCGTCTGTTTAACCAGTAGTAGCCTAGAGCTACAGGGTTGCATTTGGCTGAGATCCCCAAAGAGTCACGATTCGGGAATTCATCTATTCCTGACTCCACAGCGCAGGACTATTATCCAAAAATTACCAAAGTTGGTGGCAAGTCGAAAGATGCCAAGTACAATCATAAAGCCTTGCCAATTTTTCCCTCTCATTTGGTAAACTGAACAGTGTACTGCAACTCGAGTTTCAGTCTGTAACTATGGAACCTCGAGCTATTCGCATAGTTTGTTCTTCAAACGATTGCCTGAAGGATCGCAATGCGCCCAGAATACAGAGGCTACCTACCGGGCGTAAAACCGCTTCCCGCAACCGCGCGTCTAACAGGCCTCTTAGTTCCCAGCCACGACAGCTACAGCGCCGTAAACCGGCAAGGGTGCTAAGCCCAACAAGTAAGCACCCCATGCGCGGGAACCCCTAAGCGGACACTGAGAGAAAAGGACGCACTAGAGGGCGCCCCTGACCGCGGCCCTCGGCCCAACCGCCACAGTGGCGGTAACGCTCTTACCCAACAACAGTCGGCCCTGGCCTCCTCGCGTCGCCGCGGCCCCGCCCTGCCCCGCCCTGTCCGCCGCGGAGACTCACGGGACAGGTAGTCCGCCGCCTAGTCCCGCCCCGCCCCCCCGCGCCACCGGCTTCGTGAACGCCTTCCCAGGTCCCTCGGCCTCACTTCCGGTTTCCTCGCGCTGCCCTGGCGCCGAGCCCAAGGACAGCGGCAACCGCTTTTCCGGCAGTAAGCTGCTTGTCCACCCTTCTAGCCCGTTCGACAACGCTTCCCCTCTACGGTGCTCGACTCGGCCGCCGGGCCGTGTGGGTCCTGACAAGGCCGCCAGCGCCGGCAGGCCTGGGTCTCGCGCGCGTGTTGCTGGGTAACGGGCCTTCTCCCGAGACTGCTCGGCCTCGGCCCTCCTTCCAGAGCCTCCAGGGCCACTGCCGAAGGACAGGGCTGCGCCGGGCGTGGCGCAGCCGAGACTGAAGAAATGGGAATGCCTCCAAGGCGCACCTGCGGCGATTGCCTTCGCTGGGGAAGCGGCAGCGTCTTCGAGGAAACCGGAAGCCCTTGGTGACCCCTGGCGACCCGGTTTGGTTTCGGTCCTTTCCCAAACACTAGGGAATCGAAACTCGGCGGCCCTGGGGGCGGCCCTACGTAGCCTGACTTAGGGGTGAGTGACTCGCTTGGGCCGAGAGGAGAATGGGGGTGAGGGTAATGCCGGGACCAACCTCCGCGGTTGTTACTGGTGTGAAGAGACACGTCATTTTGCTTTCACCGCTTCTGCGCTTCCTCCTTTGGGGAGCGGCCCACCCCCGGGCATCTCCTGCCCCTGCCTCCTCCACACCCCAGCTGTTCTTGGCCCTTCTTGGTCCTTCACTCTGTTTTCCCCCCCATTACTCATTTTCCTTCTGTGCTCTGATTTCCTGAGGCGCCTTCAGCTTTGGGGGATATTTTCCCCATTCATTGAGACGACTTTATATTGGAAAGGAAAGGGGGACCTGTGGCTAGGACGGTATTGTGTGGGGCGTCCGAGCAGAGATTATCTACCCTTTGTCTATATTTTATTGAGGGTAGTCGTCATTTCTCCAATGTCCGACCTGAGTACGGTATTCATTCCGGTTTTCAGTTATTTGATTTGTTGAGTGATTACATGAAAGGCAAACTAACACCCTTGTCCAGACACACAAGAAACTCGAATGTTCAAAAGTGAGATAAAGTACACATGCAACAGAATATATTGGAAATAAGCTAAGTGCTAAGGTGATCAAAGATACAGGCGTACCAGGATTAAAATTGAAACTTACTCATTAAGCATAGAAGACACTTCCTTTTTTATTATTGGAATTTTAGATTGGATTGAACAAGATTTGAAAGACATAACTTAAATTTCAGATCTCTAAAAACTCTATATTGTATTGCCCAATCTGTTGTGATCAATCTATCTTCTGTAAAATGGGAATGGTGCATCCTTTACAGAATGGTTAAAAAAAATTAGTGCAACGTCATATGCAAATGTAAAGCTTTAATATTAAAGAGATAGCATAGTGTAATGTGAAATGTTAATCATTTAGGTAAGAACTTTAGTATGTGAGTGATTTTCCACTTAAATTGGGTCAGAGGCTAAAATTCTTCCTCATTTTCCCTATTTCCAAAATTGGAGAAATACTCTCCAAGGCATCCGAGCACAATTTCTAAGGGTTATGTGGCTCTGGAGTCAGCTGCCTGATTTTCATTTGTCGTTGTCTCACTTTCTAACCGTTGCATGTCTCAGTTCCTCCACCTGTCAAGTGAGGAGAGTCTCAACCCACCTCCAAGATGTTAAATAGAGTTAATGAATTCTTTTGAAGAACAAATGAGATCATTCCCCTAAAGGTGAAGCACACTGCTTTGCATGGACGCTTAGTTACTATTATTTACCAACATAGAACATAGCATGATTAGTAAGTGAAATGATAGGAAGTTTTTAATAATCTGACAGGCGTTCTCAAACTACGGCCTGTGGGCCACATGCAGCCCGCCGGGTGTTTTTGCCTCCGCTGCCTGTCCTGCTTAGCAGCTGACTCCTCCCAGGGCCCGCAGTCCAGCCCTGCAACAGTCTGAGGGACAGTGAACAGACCCCCGGTTTAAAAAGTTTGAGGACCCCTGAAAGTAATAGAACCAGTATGATGTATTTTTCCTATGTTGTGCTTATACATTCTAAGTCGGATTATGGTTGTATTATTACTATTAAAAAATAATTATTAACGCCAGTAACATTTAATGCATAATAGGTGTTAACTTTCATTGCGATATATCACTTTATAAAAGGATTGGAAAGACATAAACTTCTTATGATACCTGTGCTATCCCAGAAAGGGTCTTAGAATTCCCGGGTCCCAAAAACTGATTGCTGAACTAATGGAGTTAGTGGGATAATTCGTAAGGGTCATAAAAATGAAAATGGACTTTTTCATACTGTATGTACTGAGTACCTTGTGCTGAGTGCCTTTTTAGATACACTGAATTATTGGGCATTTGATTGCAAAGGGACATAGATTATGCAATAGTATCCTGAAAAGAGGCACTTGATGATCCCTTCTTTGTAAAATAGTTACGCCATTTCTACCCCTGATTATTTCATTACAAATAGGGAAAGAGGAGTATGTGTTAGTCTATCCATCTTCTAAAATTTAATCCTCCAGGTATCTAGACTGATTATGTGAAGTGGGTTCAAGAATATCCTAGCCTTCTCAGAGATAAAAAGGACATGGAAATCCTAAATAAGATTCACTTCAAGAGCAATGTGGAATAGAGGAAAAAGCCTACCATATAAGCCTTGGTCCTGTAGACCAAATGTCTCATACTGCTAGTATAATTATAGTCAGGTTTACTTTACCAATGAACTTTGATTTCCTCATCTGTGGTGGTGATAATACCTTCCTTGCCAAGTTTGGTATGGAATTTAGGTGATAATTTGTACTATATCCTTTACTCAGTATCTGTCATAAATGTGAATTCCCATTTGGTTAGGTTGCCTTTCTTTATTTGGATTAAGAAGAGACCTAAGCTACCTATCATTAGGGTGGCAAATTAGAGACTAGAATCTGGGTTTCTGAATCCTGGGCCAGTATTCTTTCTACCATAGAGGTCTGCCTCATCCAGGTTCTTATTAGGAAAATTAGCATTTTGTGTTGCATCTTAGAATATTATTAAAAGCATAGATTTTTAAAAAGCAGCTTATCTGGATTTATATCCTAGCTTTGCCGCTAACTAGTTATATAGCTATAGATAAGATATTTAAGACTTTGTTCATAAACCAAGATAATAGTACCTACATAAAAAATAGAAAAGTGCATGGCATGTAAAATCATTAGTGCCTGGCATATGGTATGTGATTAGGTAAGTGGTTAATAAATGGTAGATACAATGATGATGAAATATGACAGGATAATTATATTTATTCTTAGGGAAAAGACCAATCTGGTGTTAGAAGATACGTTTTCTACAATTCCAAAACCCAATTATGTAGTATGTGAAGAACTGAGAGTCCACTCAGTGTTGATTGTAATAAAAGCTGAAATTTAAGATCTTCTATTTTTACCCAAGCTTCAGGCATTCTGTCTGCCTTATCTAACTTTCTTTCTCCATTATTATTTTTAGGAAATTCAGTTCTCAACAACAGTTATCAACATCTTTTACCTCAATTCTTTCTCTCTCTCTTTTTTTTTTTTTTTTTAAGGCATAGTCTCACTTTGTTGCCCTGGGTAGAGTACCTGGCCATTGGCCTAGCTTATAACACCCTGAAACTCCTGGGTTCAAGCGATCCTTCTGCCGCAGCCTCCCAAGTAGCTGGGACTACAGATAGGTGCCACCATGCCCAGCTAGGTTTTTGTTTTTAGTGGAGATGGGGGTCTGGCTCTGGTTCAGGCTGGTCTTGAACTCCTGAGCTCAAGCAATCCATTGGCCTTGGCTCCCAGAGTGCTAAGATTATAGGCATGAACCACAGTCCCTGGCCTAACCCTTTCTAATTTTATTACATAACCCCTAAGAAGAAAGAAAATTTAATTGCCCAATGTATAAAATGATTGTATGACTCCTTACAGATACATTTGCCTATAAATATGCTATACATGTATATAATACAATATTGTGATGAAATGAGGATAAATGGGATATTATTTTCTTTTAATATTAAAAACAAAATTTTCATGCAAAATTTAGAATTTACCAATTCACAGCAGAGCTAACCATGCCTATAAATGTTCAAGAATGCTAGTTATGCTAGCTATCATTGAAATTCTGTAAATCATGTAGTAGCTACTTAGCTCTGTTCTCCTCAGATTTGTGATTGTCAATTTGGAATGGGACTTAAAATCACTCTGGGTGCTCATTGAAAATGAAGTTTGTGATTTTCAAACTAGATGCTTTGATTTGCATAGATCTGTGGTAGAACCTAGCTGTCAACATTTTTAAATGGAACTCCAAGCACTTCTAAAGTAGTCTTACACATTAGTCAAACACTGCTGTAGTAGGTCATCTCCAGCCTCTTAAAAGGTTGGTGTGCCCCTGTGTAATATATTTATTGAATTTTGTGTGTTTTATTGATTAGCTTTGTTTGGGGACATGATTTAACATTCCTTAAGTTTTGAAAGTGATCATTTCTTGCTACACTGTTTAAAATACTGTTTAATCTTTTGGTAATTCTCATTTTTGATAATGATACTTATGGCAGTCATTTTTTTAAAAGACTAATGTAAACATAGGTATGTTATTTTACGAAAATTTAAATTATGGCAAATAAGATTAAATAAAGTATAGGAAAGTTTCCTCAAATGTTAAATATTATAACTAGCTTGGTCTAATTTGTTAAGTATTAATAATAGCCAGCTACCTATTTACCATTGTACCAGAAAATCAAACTTCATGGATCAGCTGATTTGGATACACACAAAAAGATATTGCTTCACAAGAAAAGTTTGTAAAACTGAATCTTTATTGTGAAGCATATACTGCAGCTCCCTTTACTTCTCTGTAGAAATAAATTTAAAGAATGGTGAAAGCTGCTTGCATATGTAATAAAAACAAAGGCGATAGGCAGTCTACTTTGTTACTTTGCTAAAAATATTCCCTTTGGTATAGTAGTAAATATAATGTGATATCTGCCTTGTTTTATTTGGTTCCTTTCTAAGATCTCATTTCCCAGGCCCTGCAGCTTTTAATCTCCAGAGTTCTGGTTTGTACCATCTAATATGATAAGTATTAATATTCTGATACTTGGTGATTTCATATTTATTTTTTCAGTGATAGAAATTAAAATTTTCATTTTTATAACAAATTTAAATGACAGTTATTATTAAATGGAGCAAAACCTGACGTATATCTGTGGTGCTAGTGGATTTCTTTTCTCTTGCTGCTGCTTTCATGCTGCTTTCACTGTGTTCCAGGTAGTGTTTATAGTATATAGAAAAACGGTGTATAACTTGAAAAAATATTTTTATGCAAATAATGTTTTCTTATATTTAGAGAAAGACTACACAAAGGCAACTTTTTCATGCTTTGTAAATAAAAAAGTCAACAGATAAAAATATATAAAATAATTATGACCTTACGTCTGTCTGCTCATTTTGTCTTTCTAAAAATGACTCATTATCATCTTGCATAAAATGTGACATTGTTATATCAGTACACTCCCTTCCATCTAAATTACTTACAAACCTTCTGATCTTGATGAATGTAAAGTTTTGAAACTATAAAAGTTTTATTGGGGAGGGAAAATTAGTAATAGCTCGGGTTCTGAAATCCAGGTGCTTCTGCTACATAACTAATCTTGGCTAAGCTTCATGACCTTTCCATATTCCTGTTTTCTCCTCTGTGAAATGGGATTAATACGATTTTCTACCTTATGAGGCAGTCATGAAAATTCAATGGGTTAATATTGCTAAACATTTGGCACAATGCTAAGTTCATTTGGTTGTGAATTTTTTTTAATAAATATATGTAAGTATTCTTCATACTCTTTAATTATATCCAGGTCTGTCTTTTTAATATTTCACAAATCAGTAATCTATCTATCATAAAGAGCCTTCTCAGTTTGTTTCCTGTCTGTCTGTCTGATCTCATCTCAACCCTTCACCCCGTACTAAGGTCTTTGAACTTGTTCTCCTTACTGGAAGTTAGCAAACTGAAAGGTTTCAGTGGTTCTCCAACCTTCCTAATGCCGCAACCCAAAGGTTCAGAACCACTGGTTTAAGTACAATACAATGAAAATAACCATCTTCACTTAAGATTAGAGGTTTAAGAGTCATTTGATCTTTTGTGGTATTGCTTTTGAAAACCACTTCTTTTCTCTTTCCCCTAATCCCATAGATTCTTTATTGTTTCAAATATATCACCTACTTTTATAGCATTGTAATTATTTTTCTGCACAGCTGTCATACTTGATTTTTCTATGGGGGAAAAACATGATAAATGAACAAACAAGAAAATCACACAGCTGAGCTAGTTAGTTTGCTTTTGTATAAAGCAAAAGAACCTAGGCTCTGATCCTTAAAGTGTTCAGACTGTGGGATATCTGTTTTGACTATGTAGAGCAGTTTATGTCTATTGCTTGTTTTCAGGTATCTGTAGAAAAAAAAATTACTCAAGTAGAATACATCTTGCCCATTTGGTTGAGTGGCTTAAATCACATGTCTACTATGGGCACAATTTACCTCTCCTTAAACTAGAATGCATCCTACCACTTAACTAGCCATGCCTGCTTATTCTACTTGTGTGATATTGTGTATTCATGTAAGAGTTTTATATGGAGATACATATGTGTACTTTTAGTTTGCAACATGGGGATAACTCACATTAGCAAGGAAGGAATGATGATTTCAGCTAGCAGCAGGATTGATGTTTGCTATTATTTTGAAATAGAGTTGAATACAGAGATGGAAAAGTCTTTAGAGGAAGAAACCTTGAACTCTTTATTATTAGGAGAAAGTGCAGCTTGCATCAGAAGCAGTTAGTTATGGTTATGAAAGTCTATCACTTTTTTGGTATATAGTAGGTAACATAGTTCATTCTTATTTCTGGACTTCATTCATAAACAGAAAGATTCTAACTATATAGTAGGAGTTGTCTTATGTAATTAAAAAAATATTAAATTTATGTTGTTGAAAATTGACTAGATGGCAGGTTTCACCTACTTACTCAAGGCATGCAGTATGCATATTTATTTTTGCATTTCATTTAATCCTAGGTGGACACAAATTACTTAGACACTTGAAACTCCGGCTTTGGTTGAGATCTATTTGAAGTTATTAATTACAATTAGAAAAGTAAAAATATAATGACAAAAAAACCACACCCAAAAGGACAGTCAAAACCCTTTGTTAGTATCCATGTCATTTGCAATAAAGCAAAACAAATTTTATAGGTATTAATTAACACAGGGAAGAACATCAGATATTTTGGAAGAAAGCAGGCATAGCAAAACAATCTAGTACAATCTAGAACATTAGCTATATCTGTTTTGTTCATCATTGTGTCCCCAACTCCCCACAACATAAGTTCTCTAGTTAGGTTGCCTGTGTTTACATTTCAACTCTCTACTTTGTTACTTTGGAAAAAAATACTTAAATTACTTCTACTTCAGTTTCTTCATCTGTAATGTTCTTGTATAGTAACTGATACTAGTTAAGTGAACAAATTTATTTCAAGCAGGGGATAGTGAAAAAAATTTCCAGTGATCAATAATTACTAATGTATGTGAAATCTGTGGGTAGTTTAATTCAGATACTGTATTTACTGTTTTATTTTAAACTAAAAAACAATATTTTAAAGGACTTTTTAGGTTCTCCTACATGTCTGTTGCTTTGTTTTTCCCATGAGGTTGTAAAAGATTTCAGCCACAATTTCTCCTTTCATCCTGTTTTTTTAAAATACAACTCAGATGGGGAAATAATGCTGAACCTAAAAGCAAAAGTAGATATACAGAGCAAGTATATTTTCCATTAAATGATAAGAGTAACTGACCTCTTCTCTTAGGTTTTTCAGTCAGAGTATGATTTTAATCCTACTCTATCTACTCTTCAGTCAGTAATCAATATTTATTGAGCAACTTATGTAGTGGTGAATTGGGGACACAATGATGGACGAAACAGATATAGCTAATGTTCTAGATTGTATTGGGCAAATTACTTCACTTTGTAAAGGTCTGCTTATAAAACGTAGATGACACCTACCTCACAATTGTTTGAATGATTAAATGAGGTAATAGAGTATAGTGCATGGTACTGTGATACAGTTGGCCCTCCTGTCAATTTGTTAGTCTTCTGTTGTAATACACAACACATATTACCAATTACTGGTTGGAAAAAATATAGTAAAGTATGAGTTAAAACTTGCATAATGTATTATAATAAATTATACTCAAAGAATTCTTGGAAATGTATAATATTGGAAACTACCATGTTTCCCTGAAAATAAGACCTACCCCCAAAATAAGCACTAGCAGGATTTCTATGCATTTGTTAAATATAAACCCTACCCTGATAATAAGACCTAGCAATGGGCATGGCTATGCAGCACTATGCATTTCGGCGCTGAGCAGTGAGGAAGTCTGGAATATCTTTTATCTGCCACTGCTCCTTTCTCTGCCTTTCGCACCTGTGCAGGTGCAGGTATGGTAACTGTGGTTGCAGGCATCCTGTTGTGCACATGCAAACCGCTAGAGGAAAGGAGTTCATGCATCACTAGTGCCAGCTCCACCAACAAGGTTGGCTCCCCTGTCAAGTTCTAGCAGAAGATGACTTAACTGTATTTGAATAAATGTAGATTGTTGTATTGTGCTTAATAAAAATAAGACATCCCCTAAAAATAAGCCCTAGTGTGTCTTTTTGAGAACAAATAAAGACAGTGTCTTATTTTTGGGGAAACACCGTCTTGCTGTGGTGTCATAGCTTACAGCAACGTCAAATCTGGGTTTGAGTGATCCTCTTACCTTAGACTTACCAATAGCTGGGAAGGTGCCTGCCACACTGCCACACTAGTTTTTCTATTTTTGGTCTTTGTCTGCTCAGGTGATCCACCTACTGGCCTCCCAGAGTGATAGCTAAGATTTTAGGCGTGAGCCACTGTGCCCAGCCAAAAAGGGAGTTTTTTAAACATTGCCCCAACATTCACATTGTTCTAAATATGTCTTTTTTTCCTGCTCATTTATTTGGTGAGACGTTTGCATCTATTTTTTTTTTCTTTTAAATAATAGCTGTCATGGATACACTGGTAGAAGATGATATCTGCATTCTGAACCATGAAAAAGCCAATAGAAGAGACACAGTGACTCCAATTTCAGTATATTCAGGAGATGAATCCGTTGCTTCACATTTTGCCCTTGTCACTGCATATGAAGACATCAAAAAACGACTTAAGGATTCAGAAAAGGAGAACTCATTGTTAAAGAAAAGAATAAGATTTTTGGAAGAAAAGGTAATTTTTTTATCTTATACCCTCTTTATCTTTATAATTTATAACAAGGAATAATTCAAATTTTAATTTTTTTGTCTTCATGGTTATACTAAATTTCAAGGATAATAACTAAATGCTAATCTCAAAATTCTGGTCTCTTATACTGTATTTCACATACCATGGGCTTGGTGAATATTTGTATAGAGAACTAAACAACTTGGACAAGTTAAGTTTCAAATATTTTCCTTTCTTGTTTTTTCAGATTGCCTTACCTTCATAGCTGTGTGTATTTTTATTCAGAATTTTCGAATCTGTTTAAAAAAAAAGTAATGTGCTAACAAAGAAAATTAAGTGTCAGTTAAGCTTCTGGGATGTTGTTCATATGTGTTTATTTTTAAGCAGTCCACTCACCTCGGCCTCCCAGAGTGCTAGGATTACAGGCCTCAAGCCACCACTCCTGGCCTATTCTCATGTGTTGAATGTTTTCAGCAGTAATGCAGTCTTTTTTACCTCCACATTGTCTTTTATTCTTTAACATATATAATAGGAATAATGTCTTTACCTGATAAATTATTTTCTGTCTACCTTTTTATGCAAGGTGCTAGCACACACTTAAATGTTAGAATATATGAGCAAAGTAGCTCATTCAATATAAATCACCAGATCTTCTTGGCTTTGTGCTGGGAAAATCTTCTGCCGTTTGTTTATTTTTTAATTTTAAAGTTTAGTTTATATTTTTTCACATCAGATCAGTGTATTTATATCTTACAAGCAGTAGCTTCCACAAAGGCTAAAGGAGATGCATTCTTAGCAAAGAGGAAATGAATTATCCTATATAGGAAAACTTAAGGATGGAGCTTGGTAGAGTTTGATTCATTGGGGGAAGTAATAGAAGGAGAAGTCAGTTGTAAAAAATAATCATAATTCTTTGCACTCAAATGAATTTATTTTTACCTTAATGTTGATTAAGTAAATTTTTAACATACTGGAATAGAGTGAGAAAAGGTAGTATTTTGGAGCTTTTAGCTGTATTTATTTAAAGTTCATTAGAATAATATGATTTGGTGTATAGTTAACATTGGAAATATTTCTGTACTTTATAACTGACAATTTTATTCTTATTCTGGAATAATATAAGATTTAATGAACTAACACATCTATTCCTTAAAAAATTAATTATGCCTTAATTTGTTACTTTTTCCAGTGACGGAAATTAGATACTAAACAGCTATGCACTTCAAAAGAATGGTGTGCTCTGTTGTGATTGTGATAGTTTAATATATTGTAAAACATACACCATGAAATTTAAAATACTAGTAAGTAAAAGCATAGAATAGGCTTTTAAAAATATTCTTCAATCTGTTGCTTTCTTAATTAAAGATGTATTGCATGAAAATGAAATGTCCACCTAACTATAGTTCTGGCTATATCTCTCTATTATAAAAGTTGAGATCAGAAGAGCCATCAGAAGACTGACTTTATTTTTTTTTTCTGTCTGTCTTAACACTTTCTTAATCTTCTCTCATTTCATACTGTTAGCTTATTGGAGCTCGATTAGATGAAGAAACAAGTTCTGTGGGACGAGAACAAGTAAATAAGGCCTATCATGCATATCGAGAGGTTTGCATTGATAGAGATAATTTGAAGAGCAAATTGGATAAAATGGTAAGTCAGTTTGAAAAGAATGACATCTTTATATTACAGATTAGTTTTGTCTTTCAAGAGGTTTAAAATTAGACAGAAGTTAACTATATTAAAGTTTTAGAATGTACATGCTAAAGGCACAACTGAAATTTTTAATAATAATATTTGTAACTTATTTCTGTACAAAGTAAATACTTGGTATGTGATGATGTTTAGGACTTAAATACATCTGACACCATTAACTTATTCTGAAAAATCAGAACATGGTAGAATTATCATTACATTTTTTAAAAAAGAAAAATGATACTCTATGGTAGGAAAAAAATTAGTAAGACACTTGAGTTTATTTTCTTACTTTGTTTTTAAAGACTAGAATGAATTTTTTCAATATTTATTTAAAAATTCATATAATACCAACCTATAAATTTTCTTGATGTAATTTGGCATTTTCCCTGCTTAACTAGAATAAAGACAACTCTGAATCTTTGAAAGTATTGAATGAACAGCTACAATCTAAAGAAGTAGAACTCCTCCAGCTAAGGACAGAGGTGGAAACTCAGCAGGGTATGCCCACTTACTTGTTATAAATATTCTAACAGAATTAATACATTTTTCCATTTATGTTTTATATCATCAGTTTTCTACATCTATGTGATTAAGCCTTAAATCTAAAAATGTTTAGGCTTATGTTAATTTTTCTTTTCTACTTTCACACATTATCAACTCCTTTTAACTTTTCCTTAGCTATAAATTATATAGTTTTCCTAGAGAAAATTTGATGTGTTTTATTCAGGACTAGTTCATGGTGAAGTAGAGGAAGAAAGAAATAGAACCCCAAAAGTAAAAAGTAGTAGAAGTTACCACTTCTACCCCAATGGTATGTCCTAGTATTTCCCTCTTCTTGAACATCTTGCCCACAGTTACTGTCATGGAGTAGTTAGAATTTTAAATACTTTGTTTTTCTGTCTGAAGGTTGTTAAAAGGTACAAAGGAGAGGTTGGATTGCAAAGTTAGGTCTGGGGGATATGGATAATACTCCACTGCCATTAACATTCTGGTTAGAGTAAACCTGATGAGCTTTTGAGAGTTTGAGATAAGATCTCTTGTGGTAGCCAGTTGGGGCTATTTGTAGAGAGACTACAGTACTAAGTCAAGGGCAAAGTAGTAGCCAGTTATATTGAGTTTCTACAATGTCACGTTTATCAGTAAAATTGTTTTGAGATCATGTTTTAGCTTTGTTGGTCGGAGTTCATATTCTGAGGGGACTTGATGGAATGATTTGCTGAGTCTCAGTTTATTCAGTTTATTATTTTTATCACTGTCTAAATCTTGAGTACAGTTATTAATCTCTGCAATTTTAATGCAGTATTTTTTAAAATTTGAGACTGACAGATTAGAACTTTAACTTATATAGAAAGTCAAATATAAGGTGAATAATATATTCTAAAATAAGATTGCTCAATTTTTATTCTCAGTAGCATAGATCTTTGAAAGTAATTATACTAGTTCTTCTTTTGTCTACATTTTACCAGCATAACCTTTTTAGAATTGCAATCAATGTAGAAAGTGAAGATAATAATTTTGATATCCATCCTTTCTGTAGTGATGAGGAATTTAAATCCGCCTTCAGCAAACTGGGAGGTGGAAAAATTGAGCTGTGACCTGAAGATTCATGGTTTGGAACAAGAGCTGGAACTGATAAGAAAAGAATGTAGTGATCTCAAAATAGAACTACAAAAAGCCAAACAAACGGTACTACAGAATTATTTAATTGAGAAATTCAGTATTCTTTGTGCATCATTTCTAAGATTTAAAGCTTTGTATTAAACAATAGATTTAACATAAATTGTAACTACTTAGGTAATGCTCTGTCCTTGAAAAATACGTGTTTATCTTCCTCTTTAATCATGTCTGCTAAAATTTGACACACTGTATACTTGTAATCTTATCCCAGATTTATATAATTTTGTTTTTTTAAAAAAGATATATTTTAAAAAGCTTAGTAGTTTCTTTATTATAAAACTCAAACTCACTTTCCTCCAGTTTCCTTATCTTGTTTCCTTAAAGTTTAAAGTGAAGTCAGATTTAAGTTTCCCATTTTATTTAATTTAATAATTTGATTAATTTAGACTTCATAAGAGATAATTTAACTTTTTTAATTTCTTTTTTTAAAAAAACCTAACAACAAAGAAAACTTTATAGAGCCCACTTAATTGCAGATGACTTAATACTTTAGGGATTGTAGCTATTGACAAAGAACTGAGAATTCAAGAATTGGAAAAAAATCAAAACCACCTACACTGTTAAAAGTATGGTTAGGCTGAAGTCATCCTCTAAAATATAAGATGCTTCTTAGGTCCTCACCAATCTATTTACTAATACTTTACCTTCAGTTCTAACAAGCTTGGATATATGTTTTCCAATGTCATAACAGACCTAAGGATAAAAGACGTAATGATATCAAAGCAAGGGAGTATGAAAGCAATGCACCAAATGCTAAGTTTTAAATAGTTGTTACAAGAAATTGAAAAGCTTAGTATTCTGTAGGAAATAGCCATTTTATTCATTCATGGATTTCAAATTAAGGTATAACCAGTCATGTAATTGTTCCTCAGCTCAATCATTTTGCTCACCAGAGCATTTGAATACTATTGAAGAACAGTTTCTTATTCCCTGTTCCTCTGGGATGCCGCTGCCTGAAAGTAAAACTCCTTTCCCTGGTAGCCAGGTTTTGCACTGAATCTCAAGTGTCCTTAGAGCTCACACTTACCTCTTTTATAATGTATTCTTAATGAAAGATGACCCCTGGAAAAGAATGAGCTAGGAATTGAGAATAATATAAAATTCTGCTTTGTCCTTGACCAAATGTGTTTATTCCTCAGAACTGGACAATAAGAACCTCCTGTGGAACTCACAGTCCTAATAAAGAGGAAGTACTACAAAAATTACTGTCAACGCCTGCTTGAGTCAAAAAAATTTATTTTTCCTACTTAACACCTGAAGTTGATTTTCCCAGCTTTGAGCTTGTTACCACACAACATAATTCCTTCAGAAGCTTTCAGCATCTGGTTCCACAAACTCAGTTACAATAGACACTGAGAAGCCTCTTTTAAAAAAAAAAATGCATCAAAAAAAGATGACCTTGAATCTGAATTATAGTTGTCAATGTATATATTCTACTTAAAATAATTTGGTAGCTTGTATAGATAATGGATATTTCATTACAGAGTAGGAAGCAATACTATGGAATCATAGCTTATTAACTGTGTAACATTAGGAACATCATTTTCTGTAAAGTAGACAATAAGTACCTATTTTTTTCATGAAAGTTAAAATAGTGTATGTTAAGCAGTTAGCATAGCACCCAGCAAATAGTGTATTCAATAAATAAGTGCTTTTTAAAAATACATGATTAGAGTAATCCAGAAAGGTAGTGCTTTTTAGTATTTGTGTGTATTCGGTTCAAATTTTGGTTCTTAATTATTACTCTTTTCCACTAGATGGTGCTAGGGAATAAATCTGCTTTTATTAAAGCTTAGATTTCTCTATCCTGAGGAAGCAAATCACAGAAACTACCTTTAAGAAGTGGAAAAAACTTTAGAAATCATTTTTCTTCAACTGATGGCGAAATTAAATATGAGAGAAAAGAAACTTTTAAGAGTTGAAAGGAGTAATATTGAAAAAGAAATATTTAAAACATGATTCCCACCTTCACAGGTATATGTTAGGGATAGAGTAAGGCTGCAAAGTAAAAATGGCTCACAATTAAAATAAAGAAATGAACCAGGAACATGAAGAGTGGAAATACCAGTTTGTAAGGATTGCAAGTTAAAATCTTGAAATTGTAGGATGTGTACTTTTAAATCTTATTTCAGAAGTGTTGTTGATTGGAGTCCTCTTGAATATGGGAAGCAGAGAAGTCAGGGAGAGAAATTGATGTTCACATTACCTCTATTTACAAATATATTTAAAATGGTACTTTTTGTGAAGCATATTTTATTATACTGTCTGAAGGGTGTAACAGGTCTTAACAGCATCCTATGAGGACATAATAGGATTGGGGTTTTTTGGTTGTTTTGGGGTTTTTTTGAAGTATTTAGTTAGTGAATTCAGCTAGTGTTTAGTGTTAGGTTCCAGGAGCAAGTTCCATTATAAGCCTTTTAGACTTTCTATATCCCCCCAATATTCTAGCCATTTACATTGAGAACAGGTGATCCTGTGGGAAATACAGATTCTGGGGCAAAGAAGTATGAGAAACACTGGGTCAGTAAAATGGAATTGGTAAAGATTATCTAAGTTCCCTAACATTGGTCACCCATTTAGAGATTAACAATGTGCTATAGTGCACTAAAAATTCTAAGAAGTCCTACCATACAGGATCCTGTGTACCTTGAACATTGTTTCCCAAGATTTTGTATCCCATGGGTTATTGTTATGTTATTGTTATGTGAAGCTCCTGTATAACATTGGGAAGCAAACCCATTACCGCCTTTAGACTGTGGCAAACTGCTTATAGGCCAGAAACAGGGACTTTGAACATCAGGGACAATCTCTTTGAGCTTATTGCTGATTTCTGTTAGATTTTCTGAATTGTTAGATGGTTGCTGATAAAATACTTTCCCATCTAAAAGTGTTTTATGTTGGTGGCTTTAAAAATGAGGAAATTTTCCAGTGAACATTTATGCTTAAGTATATACTAATTAAACGTCTTTTAATTAATGATACTAAGAAACTAAAAGTGATCTGATGTGATTCTTTCATTTCCTGTAGAATTTGAACAATGTCCAAAGATACGTGCCTTGTTAGTGATCATACTTCCCCTGTCTTGTGAGTCAGTTCTGTTTCCTCTTTCCATAGAGCTCCCTAAGATACAATTTTCCATATTTTGTTGTATAAATGGGTACTTTTCTGCCCGAATTTTTGAGGACAAAATTAAGGATGCACATTATATTTGGGCATTACTAATTCTGTATTAAAATAGACATGTTTTTAATTCTTTTATTCATACACATGTGTTAAAAGTATAACTCTAGAAAGCAGTAATGATATCTGTATGCAAAATTATTATTTTTTACCCTGGAACAGAGTAATTGTGCCCCCTCTGTGCTACCCACCTCCCTGGCTGCCTGCCCCATTATTGGGCAGCCAGTGAAGCTGGAGGAGCCTCAGTCCTGCCCAGTTGATTGATCAGCACTAGATACCGCCACCACCTTGAAAGCGGACACAAGAGTGGCTCAAGGGTTAGCATCAGGATCTTGGTAAAAGGAGGGTGGAAGTGGTTCCACTGTGGTGCTTCCTCTTGTGAGAGGTGGAGGCCTAGAGCTGGCTGCTGTAGAGAAGCTGGAAGCAAGCCCAGGGAACAGGCAAGAGTGGTTTATGTGACCTATGTGCCCAGACTCCCCCAACTGTTCCCCTCCCAGCCCACCCTTATCCCCACATCTTCTCATTTCCTATTCCCACCCATGTTCATCAGTGGGAATATGATAACAGCCACTCCGCTGAGAACTCTAGTTTCCCAGGAAGCTGATGTGAGGAACCAAGGCTGACCCTGCCTGTCTCGGGCTCCTGATCTCTACCCTCTTCAGGCTGCTTCATCTTTCATGCAACTGGCCCCATTCTTAGGCTCCTAGGACACCACTCTTGAGAAGGAAGATAACCTGAGCTGGGGTCTGGAAGACCTGGATTCTGAGACCCAGTATACTAGTAGCCCTCTATTGTGACCTTGGGCCTCAGTCCCCATGAAGTTTGTGTCTGCAAGGGTACCTGGCAGTGAAGCATGAAAGCTCAGGGATACCTGAGCCCATAGATTGTAATTTTGAGCTTATGACTTGTCTGAACCCCTAAGGTGTTCAGTTGGTGTAAGTTGCCAAACTTGCCAGTTACTAGGAAGAACCATTGTGGTTGCTTGTTAATGGAACAGATACCCAGGTCTTTCTCCTGGAGAGTTGAGTCAGTACATGGTTCAGGAGTCACATTATAACCATTCCCCCAGGTTATTTATGGGATTTGCAAGTTTGAGAAAGGCTGGTGGTGTTCATTATGAAATACTGTGTGCTCCAGGTCTGCATGGCTCATGGAGGTCACAGTCTAGTCACTATGCAGAAATATAAATACAGACTACATCACTGGGGTATCAATCAGGGAAGCCTTCCTCACTAATTAGCATGGTGTCCTGGGGGCCTCAGAATGGGGCCAGCTAAGCAAGAGATGAGGCAGGCCAGAAAGGGCAGGGATCTACCATCAGGAGCCCAGGGCAGGCAGGGCTGGCCCTGGCCCCTCACACCAGCTTACCAAAAAATAAACCCACCAGGGGGTTCTCACTGGAGCCACCATGGCCACCTTTCTGCTGATAGACATGAGTGACAATAGGAAATGAGAACATGTGAAGATGAGAGTGTGCTGGGAGGGGACACGTGGAGGGGGGGAGTCAAGTGCTCAGGTTGTCTAGATCATTCTTAGGTGCCACCTGGGTTTCCTCCCAGCTTCGCATCAGAGTCTGGCTCCATGCCTTGCACCTCTCCTAAGAGAAGGAGGCACCACTGTGCAGCCACTTATGCCTTCCTTGAAGAATTTAAAATGAGGCGCGGTGCCCATAGCTCAGTGGTTAGGGTGCTGGCCACATACACTGAGGCTAGTGGGTTCAAACCCGGCCTGGGCCTGCTAAACAGCAATGACAAATGCAACCAAAAAATAGCTGGGCATTGTGGCAGGCGCCTGTAGTCCCAGCTACTTGGGAGGCTGAGTCTTAAGCCCGAGAGTTTGAGGTTGTTGTAAGCTGTTAAGTCATGGCACACTACCAAGGGTGACATAGTGAGACTCTTGTCTCAATAAAAAAAAAAAAAAAAGATTTTTTTCCCTAAAAGTTTGGGCAAAAAAATGTAGGTGCACATTATACACAGGGGCACATTATACATGGAGACGTGGTAATTGTTACAGTAATAAAATTAGAGATCGGAAAATGCTTCAACTCTTACAAGGAGAAGCATTTTTGATATTTTACTCTCCCAAGTTCAGAGTACTCATGAAGTCCTGTGTAATTCTTGTATGTTTCACTTCAAAACATACAACTTAGATTATATAAGATAGTAAAATGAAATTTTCTTCTTTCTGCTTACAGAGGCCTCTTCTCTCAATAGAATTAGTACTCATAATAGTCATTTTCATTTATTATAGATTGATAAATGAGAATGAATTGCAAAAAAGTGTATTACAGAGCTGTCTTAAAATACCCTTAATAAATCCATCCAGATTATTTTTTTAATCTGTATAGAAGGAGGATATATGTTCGTCTTTTAAAATAATAACTTGTTAAAATTCTGATACTTTTTTGTACTAAATAATAGCATGAAAAAATATATTAAAAAAACTTCCATTTTCCCATGTAATTCATTTAGCAATACCTTTTATAAACAGTAATGTGACAAACATACTTTTATGAGTATAGACTTCAGATTGTTGTTTTCATGAAATATGTAAGACTTGAAGTTCTTTTACATGAGAGCAGTTCTTTTTTTAAAAATTAAAGTATTAATGCTTTAAATAATTGGGAATGATTAAAATATTTGGTATAGGTTGGAGTTTATATCATTAAAATTGAATATAAAGTCTAGTTTTATACTGTACAATTACAGATGTAGTCTATAAAAGCTGAAATATGTCTCTGGTAATAAAGAAATGAGACAAAATAGAATGCAGAAATTATAGCTTTTAAACTTTTTTTTTTCTTCAAATGACAGGATCCCTATCAGGAAGACAATGTGAAAAGCAGAGATCTCCAAAGACTAAGCATTTCAAGGTATGAACATTCTTAAACATTAAGATAATACATGTTCTCTTCCATAAGTCATTCTACTAGGTAGGTACTTAGGTTCTTGTTATGATTTAAGCTTTAAAATAAAATAAATGGATACTATTTGGATACTGTATGTCATCTCTGTTCACAGTATGTTTATTAGAAAACACTCAACTGGCCTGGCGATGTGGCTCACGCCTGTAATCCCAGTACTCTGGGAGGCCGAGGCAGGTGGATTGCCCTGAGCTTACAAGTTCAAGACCAGCCTGAGCCAGAGAGAGACCTTGTCTCTAAAAATAGCTGGGTACCTATAGTCCCAGCTATTCGGGAAGCTGAGGCGAGAGGATCACTTGAGCCCGAGTTGGAAGTTACTGTGAGCTATAATGCCATGGCACTCTATCAAGGGCAACAAAGTGAGACTCAATCTCCAAAACAAAACAGAACACTTGACTGTTGTAAAAAGATGCACATTGGGATACCTTATATGAAATTTCTAAGTGTTAAGTGATATTTTAGATATGATTTAAGGGAACTAAGCTATATGGAAGTATTCTGTAATAAACCCTGATTTTTGTACATGAAGAATATATACAGTAATATATATAGTAATATGTCTTAAGGACAAACATGGACAACTATAGTCTTTGGGATAGTATGAATTTTAAGAAAGCTGTATCTTCTTTGGATAAGAATAAAAGTAGCAATCAGAGTTCATGTACTTGACCCCCAACCCTTTTTCTCAAATACATATTTTTACTTAACTTAAAAGTTCTATGTTTTAAATTATCTAATTATTTTTGTTGGTTCTGTTAGGATAGCCATGGATACCTTTCATCCAAAAAAAAAAAAATACTGACTTCGTTGTTTGATCATTTGATTTTAAAAGTTTACTGACCTAAGTAAATAATGTGAATTGTCACAGACCTATTCTTATCAAAAAACTTGCTTGAGAGAAATGATCAGTTAGGGAAAACAATTTGAGGATGTGACATGTAGCCACTCTTCTAGATTAGGGGTCAGCAGATTTTTTTTTATATAAAGTGCCAGCAGTAAACTTTTAAAGTTTTGTGAGTGTGCCATGCTGTTTCTGTTGCATCTACTATGTTGAACTGTACTTCAGTTATGCCTTCAAATTTTATCTAAGATTACTGCAAGGAAGTTTTTCTTTAAATAACGTGTTGAGTACGGTATCTACATAAACTGTTTCTTAATATTATTTTCTTTGTCAAAGTTGTCTTTTCTTCTGTAAACTTAAGTTTCTTCTTACTACTTTTGCTGGAATCGTCATTTTTATAAGCCATGTCAAATTATTTTTGAAAGAAGCAGTGTTAGAAACAGTAAATCAAATAAAGGAGCTATACAGATAGCCTATTACAAGCACATGATACACAGTGGGACTTATGCTGTACTTCATGGGGAGTTACATAATTTGAATAACTTCCATTGAGAATATCTTGGAAAGCTGGCTTCCCCTAAAATATAAACACCAAGCATTTCAAGGTACGAACATCAGATTTTGAAAGTATTCTAGATAATTAACAGTAAAGAATCTCTCTGCCAGAATTTGGAGGGGGTTGAAGGACCACAGAGGTAAAGCCCAGTGTTTGAGATTGCAGAGCTATAATTATGACTTCAAAGCGCAGTCTTAAATTCTTTAGGTTCAATATCAAGTCAGAGGATCAACTGAAAGACAGTTTTTAGAAAGAATTACCTTAAGTTTTATCTAAAAGTTACTTTGCTGTACCCAGGGTGTGCTATGTTAAGAACTACATAATTGCAGCATGTCTCCCTTAGCACTCAAATACACTTGGGATTTTTTTTGCAAATTGGTTTGCATTTATCTTTTGCACTATGAACTGCAAAAGTAATTGGGTTCTTCTCTTCTGGTTAGTCACTAGAAAGTTTACATCAAATTTGTGACCTACTTCTGATAAACTTTATATCATGCATTTTTTTTTCATTTTTTTGAGACAGAGTCTCATTTTGTTGCCGTCGGTAGAGTGCTCTGGCATCATAGCTCACAGCAAACTCTCTCAGGTTCAAGTGATTCTCTTGCCTCAGCCTCCCATGTAGCTGGGACTATAGGCGCCTGCCACAACACCCAGCTTTTTTTAGAGACGAGATCTCGCTCTAGCTCAGGCTGTTATCCAACTCATGAGCTCAAGCAATCCTGTCTACTTCAGCTTCCCAAACTGCTGGGATTATAGGCATGAGCCACCAGGCCCGGCCTTGTATATCATGCATTTTTATGTTAGACTCATTCCCGACTATATTTTGTTTTGTTTTTTTCGCCTTGTCATGTATACTTATATCTAATTTACATCCCTGTGTTTTACTAATCTTTGTAGGTTACCTCAGTCACTTTTAAGTGAGCCAATTCAGATGATAAATTAAGTTTACTATATTAGGGAAAAGTACATAGGGATGTTCTCATGAAACAATTAACTAAGTTCTGCACCTGTATGTAGCTCAGTGAGTAGGGCGCCAGTCATATACACTGACAAGTTTAAGCCTAGTCTGGGCCTGCTAAACAACAGTGACAGGCATTGTGGTGGGCACCTGTAGCTACTCTGGAGGCTGAAGCAAGAGAATCACTTGAGCCCTAGAGTTTGAGGTTGCTATAAGCTGTGATGCTGTGGCACTCTGCCGAGGGCGACATAGTGAAACTCTGTCTCAAAAAAAACAAAACAAAACAAGAAAACAATTACCTAGAGGTTTAGTTTTTTCAAAGATTATTTTTCAGTTATTTGGGAAACTCCCTTTTTTGGAACACTTCTTTTTTGTAGTTTTTTCATCATATTACCAGGCAAATGAAGTACTATATTGTCTCCCTAAGATAAAGTGAACCTTTTATTTACTGGAGGCCTTTTATATAGTACTCATTGTGTAAAACAGTTTAACAGTCCTGTCAGAAATATTGTCAGTTTCCTATTTTGATGTTGGCTTAGGTTGATGGCTTCAGTTTTTAAGCCAGATCCTAGGTAGGAGTTGATGGTACTTTTTTTGCTCATGATCATAGACTTATATTGTAGGGCTGTGTTACACGTGAGTTCTTAAGGTGTAAATCCCTCGTTTAGAAAATATAGATTAGGTTAGTATTTTAAAATGTTTATGTATTTCCTTAGTGATCATGAAATTTTGTGAATTATGGCACACATTTTTAAAATATGGAAAAATCAAGAGAGAACATACTAGAGTATCACCCATAGAGTAAGTATGGTTTCTCATAACCTATTTTCTTTGAGTAGTGGTGTAAAATTATTGCTTTCTGTACCTTATAATCAAGAATGTTTGAAAGCCACTTGTTTGGGGGAATTACAGTTGTCAAAATATGCATTTTTAAGTCTGTAATTCTTGGATGAGAATATACTTTAGTTCCTCTGGGGAAATGTAATCATTCAGTAAATTTCCAAAAGCTAAAGAAAAATATGAATGGCAGAAGTAGAAATTCAGTTAAGTAGGTTTTTCCTATATAAGAAAAACTTCTGTGTTAAAGAAATGGATATAGGCTCGGTGCCTGTGGCTCAAGCCGCTAAGGCGCCGGCCATGTACATCTGATCTGGCAGGTTTGAATCCAGCCTGGCCTACCAAACAACAGTGATGGCTGCAACCAAAAAAATAGCCAGGCATTGTGGGAGGTGCCTGTGGTCCCAGCTACTTGGGAGGCAGACACAAGAGAATCGCTTGAGCCCAGGAGTTGGAGGTGGCTGTCAGCTGTGATGCCATAGCACTCTGCCCAGGGCCACGGCTTGATCTCAGGGGGGAAAAAATAAAGAATTGAATACAGAATGTCACTTAAGTTTTACTTTGTAAGCAGGACATATAACCCCCTTCTTGAGATATGTATGGACAAGTAGGTTTCATTACATGTAGAAGTCAGAAGTGTGAAGTTTTACAATGGGACTGAGATTTTGTTGGCCAGATAGCATATTGTAGCTTCTTCATAAATAGATGATGATGACAACAGTGAAAATGTGAAAAATGCTACTCTAAAAGAACAGCGATTGGTCATTATTCTGGATAGGTAAAAGATGGCTTTGGACAGCAACATGGACTCCTGAACCTGTTTCCTCTTATGTAAAATGAGGTTACTTACTTTGCCAAGTTGATGTGATAATGTGGGTGAATTACCTTAAATGTTATTAGGCATCATTTTTCTTTCATCTATTTTGTTTTTTATGGTTCTTATTTGAGATGTTTTAGTGTTACATTTCAGTATTTAAGTAGTTATTTAAGTTATTTAGAGAGTGCCTTTATATATTACTAGAGTTTTGGTAGTGTGGAAGTTGACACACACAGTTGGGGATCTTGGGTGAGGGTGGGGTAGGCAAAGCTATGCATAATCCCAGAAATACCTAGGTAAGTAAAGAGGGTTAGTTGGAGCTCTGCTAAAAATTATCAGTATCACTGAAGTAATTATTTAAACATTTTTCCAATAAGATAGAATAAGACTTTAGTGTTTACTATAAAATGGGTAACACTAACTGCAACTATAGTGTTAGCCACAAGAGGGAGAGCTTATACTTAGGAATAATTTTAGATTTTCCTATCTGTAGTTGTCAATTCAAATGACATTAAGGACAAAAGACAAAAAGACTAGATTGTGTTAAATTGAATGACTTAGTTTTCAATTTAACCTAAGTATTAAGCAGTCTTCATTAAATTGAATTTAAAAATATGTATTAGACACTGTTGATGCCTTTATCGTTTCTCTATTTTTACATGCCTTGCTACTCTGAATGATTAGAAATGCTTGCTATGTCAGTACCTAACCACAATCTTGAATATTTGCTTTTATTTTCTCTAAGTCATATACTGATTTACCATCTCATGCCAATAATAAACTATTTTTAAACTGTATTATTCATGCCATGACTGTCTGCATGAATTAGCACATGTACCATGTTTACATTTAATGCTTTATAAGGTAACTCTTAGGGAAGCATACTGAATCCCCAGAATTGCACCAGAAACCAACAACTCTTTCACACTTAAGACAGGTTCCTATGTGAAGCGTTTATTGTAGCAAACATACCAAATGTTTACTGGTAAAGTAGAGGTAGTTAACTGATTTTTGTGAAGTAACTATTTCGCACCTGTAAAAAACCTGCAAAAAGCCCTGTGATTTTTAATAGACTATGGGTTAACAAATGATGTTTACAACAGACTAAAACAAATATATTTTTCTCAAAAGCAGCATAAAGTTTACTTTTTAAGTTGAAAGAGTTTTAGTTTGAGTGGAATGAGAACATTTTGACAAAAATGATATTTGTATTTAACTATACATAATTCAAAATAATTCTGTTTTTGAATAATCTGGTGCTTCTGTAATTTAGATATTAGATTTAGGTCTTAAGAATATTATCCTTTGAGTTTTTGTTCATGGTGAGACAAAATTCAACCATGAAGTAGCAAGTCTATTTTGATTTTGTACTTAAATTGCAGTGATGTCTCTAAGGTAGACAATAACGGTGGTTTGCTATGAGTTCATTTATTTTTGCATTTAATATTTTGTGTATTCTTATACAACAAAATGAGAATATATGTGAAGGTTTCAGTTCATTTGGTTAGCAATTAAAACCCTAAAGAAAATCATCAATTTACAAAGAAGAATGTTAAATGGAAAACAAAATCTATAAAATTAGGTTTAAAATAATTTATAATTTCTCAGATAATTGAGATAAAACTTTTAAATACATATGTGGTAGAGGCATTTTTGAAGTTTTTATTTATTTCATATAATCCTCCCTCTGTAGCTTCTTTTTCCTTACTAGGAAATCATCTGGCTCTTCATGTCTTGTGCTGTCATGTCACATTGGTTTAGAACCAACAATATGAGACAGCCCAGTCAAACATAAAGAATGTAATGCATGAAACCTAAATTTTTATTTTAATGTGGACTTGGGTATATATTCAGCAACTGATATATCGTTTTCAGTCCACAGTGTCAAAACAATCAGGAGATTAATACAAATTTACAGTCCATATATGAATGAATGTAACATTATTCACAATCAGATTTGCAAATAAAGAATGTATTCCTTACCACTTACTAATAATATTAAAATATTAACAGCATTGCATGTTATGGGCGGTGATAAAATCTCTATTCTGAGAAGAGACCTGTAAGAAATATATTGGTTAGAGTATTTCTTTTTAATTATATTTTTCTGTTTAGTACAGTACGGTTAATTGCTACTGACCATAAGGACAATATTATTCTTATAAGATCTTTTCATTTATAATGCACTAATTAAATCTTTGAATTATTTTGATATATATTAATCTCAAAAATAATTGGAGCAGAAATGCTGATCTGCTTATTTCTATTTTAAAGTTATTTCCTTTTGCCCATAAAAAGCATGATGATTTTACCTGTATTTCAGTGATAATATGCAACATGCATACTGGGAACTGAAGAGAGAAATGTCTAATTTGCATCTGGTGACTCAAGTACAAGCTGAACTACTAAGAAAACTGAAAACCCCAACTTCAATCAAGAAAGGCAAGTCACTGTTTGCCGGAAACCACTGATTCCAGCCAAACTGCTTGAAGAGCAGCTAGCTATCGTATCTTATCAAAATCTCATCAAATGAGTTTGATAAGCCAAAGTATATATAGTATGTTCACAGCCTACCCATTCTCTGCTTTGGCTTCAGTCTCATACTGGTCAACTTCACACATAGAGGTGTTGCTGATGTGTTTTTTTCTTCAGTACTGTATTCTTTTCCCCTTGTGGCTTTTCTCAACCAAGTGTTGCTTATGTGTATAAGGCTGAGGTGTTAAGTTTGTTCTAGTTGACCTTTTACCACAACTACTTCATATATTAAAAAAAAGAAAAAAAAAAAACACCAAAAACATTTTTTTCATTCTAGTGCTACAGAATACACCAAAGACCTAGCTTTTTGTTTGTTTAAAACAAAACAAACTTTGATTCATTATTTGGTTCTTTGCATTTTTTTATAAACTTAAGTTTTCTTTCTATAAAGGATGGTGGATTAGAACAGAGACGAAGTGTTTTCAAAACTTTTATACCTTTCAACCAAATGAAAATTTTCATTTCTTTGCCTCTAATATTTAATTGCTTGACTAACTTTTGAGTTTTGTGTTAACTAGTAATGGCTACTTTTGCCAAAGCTATTTTTATATCTTAGAGAAAAGTCAGTACATTTGTACCTAGTATTTACGTAGTAGGTGTCCTCTAAAATTTAATTTTTGAAGGAATGAGATGTGACTTTTTATAAAAAAAAATCACCACCTAATTTAAAATTGTTTTTTGTACCTCACATTATGTTAAAGAAGGCACAAGACAATTGTGTTTCATAAATAGCTTTAAGAGTATTAGGAGAAAATGTAGCAAATGGGGGTGGAAAATTGAATTTAGAATTCCTTTCAGTTTCTGAAAAGTTGGTTACTTAAAAGTCAGGCATAATAATACAGTGTTTTAGCAAGGCTAGCTTAATTTATGATTCACTTTGTCCTTGAGTTAGCATTATATATGAGACTCATAAGTTCATTGTAAAAGTAAGACTTTAAAGGGACTATTGAGTTCATTTTCCAGTGAATTCTCAGGGTGGCTCTGTTTACATAATAAATGTAACTTCCAAAGAATAATGCTCTTAACATACTTGGAAGTGGTTCATCCTTGTATCCTTCCTAGCTGGTTAATAATGCATCTTGGCGCTTTGGAACACAGCGTTTTTTAGCACATTTCCTCCGACAGTGGCAGACTTGAGGTTGCTACTCCTTACTCATTGTTCTGAGTACAGAGATGAGACTAGGTCACCCTTTTTTTGCACCCTGATCATTGTATCACCTTTGTCTAGAAGCTGAACACTGGGTGGCGCACATAGCTCAGTGGGTAGGGCGCCTGCTGCATACACTGAGGCTGGCGGGTTCGAACCCAGCCCCAGCCAGCTAAACAGCAATGACAACTAGAAGCTATTCCTTCCAGTTTTCCCCCTTCTCCATCTACTCTCCCAAGCAAAAAAGGCAATGTTGTTTTATAATGTGGTTCAGAGATAAGATTAGATCACCTTTTTTCTGACCTATGTATTACCTTTCTCCAGAAGCTTTTTCCAATTCTAGAAACCTCCATTCCTGGAAACCTTACCAAAACAAAAGGCAATGAAATTATTTTATAATGTGCTTCAATTTGTTCCTTCTAAAACTACATAGAGTCAAGCTTTGCTTACTCTTGGCTGTTTTTAAGCTAAGGATAAACTTATCTTTCTACTCTGATAGATTGGGCTGGAAGAAGAGGAGAAGCCTATTTTACCAGTATGCTGGCTATAGTCAAATATTAGCTTTGGGGCAATCCTCTTCTGCTATTGCATGTATACAAAACACATTTTTCTTTTATTTTTTACTTGACCTGCATCGTAACCACAGCAGAATTAACGTTTACTGTTACATGTATTCAACAAGAAGCAGGATTATTTTATAAATTTTCTTTATAAAACTGATTCATCCATAAAAGCCTTTGACATATACACTAAAACTTCATCTGGGTCTCACCAATTAAAAATATAATTATTTCTAGTAGCCAGGTACAGTGGCTCATGCCTGTAATCCTAGCATTCTGGGAGGCCAAGTTGGGAAGCACCCTTGAAATCAGGAGGTCAAGACCAGCCTGAGCAAGAGTAAGATCCCCATCTCTACTAAAAATAGAAAAAAATTAGCCAGGCATTGTGATGATCGCCTATAGTCCCAGCTGACTGAGAGGGTGAGTCAGGAGGACTGCTTGAACCCAGGAGTTTGAGGTTGCTGTGAGCTAGGTTGATGCCATGACACTCTAGCCTGGACAACAGTAAGACCATGTCTCAAAAACAAAAAACAAAATATATTTCTGAAAAAATTTAGACTGCCTATGATTAAGCAAAGGAATGTTATAGTTAACTAAAAAAATGCTAAAACAGTTTCTCAGTCCCTACTGACATGTAAACAATCTGTAAGCCTTTTAGCCACAGTAAGCGCCCAAAACAGGATCTTTATCTGTATTTTAATTTTGATCTGTCATTTATCTCCAAGTCACAGTGCCTCAGTGATCATAATAACATGGAAATGTGAACTTACCAGTTTTAGGATTCAGCTAAATTAGAGTAATGTTATAGTATTTTATGATCACAGATGCCATAAAGCAGATATTAAGCTTATGCTTTCTTTTTAGCCTGTGCCCCAGGCGGATGCTTTGAAGACCTTGGGAAAGACAGCACAAGACTGCACTTGACGAATTTTACTGCAACATACACAAGACATCCCCATCTTTCACCAAATGGCAAGGCTGTTTGTCATACTACATCTTCCCCTTTACCAGGAGATGTAAAGATTTTATCAGAGAAAGCAATCCTCCAATCATGGACAGATAATGAGAGATCCATTCCTAATGATGGTACATACTTTCAGGAGCACAACTCTTATGGCAGAAATTCTCTGGAAGATAATTCCTGGGTTTTTCCAAGCCCTCCTAAATCAAGTGAGACAGCATTTGGGGAAACTAAAAGTAAAGGTTTGCCTTTACCGAACCTGCCACCACTCCATTACTTGGATCAGCATAATCAAAACTGCCTTTATAAGAGTTAATCCTAAAGAGATTCATGATCTGATCATGAGGACACTATCTCTGTCAGTGATTCTCCCAAGAAATTATTTAACAAGCAGAGTGGATTTTGATTACAATTTTACAGAGTTCTTCAGTGTATACATTTGAACATATTGTATAATATTATGTAGTTGATTTTCCAGTATGAAAGCATCCTCTAGCTCCATATTCTGAGAATCATATATGCTACTGTACTAATTAATAAATAAACATAAGTTGTTTATAAAAGACAATTCTACCTTTAATGACAATTGTAATATTTTACCTCTCGGATAAAGGATGGAATTAGAGATTTTAGACATGGTGTTACAAAGTCTGTGAAATGCTATTCATAAAAATAAGAGGAAGCATTAATAAAGGTGGAAAAACCTAGTATGTTACTTCAAATTACATAATGGAACAAATGGCAGTGGGAATAGATTGTATTTCTGTTAAATATATGCATAAAGATATGAAAAACATTGTAATGAAATAAAAGCATCTTAGGTTATACCATCTCTATATACTATTATGTTTCAGAGTTTAAGATTTAAAATGATAGTTTAGTCATAATGGTGTTTATTGATAAATTCCGAATTGCAATTTGAATTCTAAGACTTGAAATAACCCGGTCATTGAAGCCAACTTTGTCCCAATACATCCCTCAAGTCCTAATTGAAAGTAAAATGAAATAGTTGAAAAACTATGTGGTGTGTAAATAAATGATTATAACTCTATACACCATTCAATTAGAAGCAGAAAGAGTATCACACAGGTTTCAGTCTAATCTATCCTTGTAGTGATCATAATGAAAACCTAAATGTATAACTTATAACATCATTTTCTTCAGAGCGACTATAGTTGCTTATGTAGAGCAGCTTATAAACTGTTAAGACTTTGTTTTGAAATGTAATATTTTACTTAATGAGAAAGTGACTTTTTAAGTAGGAATTTTAATTCTAGAAATTAAATTTTGTGCTATGTTGATATATTACAATCATGAAATGTCACTAAAATCTTTTAATCTAAGTGGCCCACCACTTGTAAATGTTAAGAAAATAACAAAGATGGCTTCATAATGAAATTTAGCTAAATTCTTTCAGGATGGAGGTATTAAGAATATTAGTAATTTACTATCACTTGGTTCATACACCTATTGCCTGAGTTAAAGTGTTTCATATCAGAGGACTTTGTCCTTTTTGATAGTTTTATAAATCTTGAACTGAAAAATACTATCTCAAATCTCTTCTGTATTACTGAATAGCATACATACATCAACAGTGTTCACCATTCACCAGGTATTTTTGTCTTTCTATTATCTTATATTTATTCAAGCTTGTCTGTGATTAACAGAATTGGTGTCAGATGCTGGAATTTATTCTGACCAATGAACATAGCTGACTCAAGGGAGTACAATCTCCTGCCAAGTAATAGAACAAAACCCAATATGCATAAAACAGATACAAGATTCTAGGCTTTAGCTGAAGAAGCAACTACCTGTGTAATAACAAAGCAGCAAAAACTATTTCTTATTTGGTTGCATAGACTCTATTACATATCTCTAATGTAGCTTACTACTTTGCCTTTTTTCAAATCAAAATTGGACATTTTCCTTTGTAAAGAAAACAAGTCTTATGAGATAATGGCTTGATTAATGTTTCAAACACAAATGACAAGAAGTTGTTTAATTAAAATAAAAAAATTATTTTTTGAAACTGAAATATATTCCAAGGCCTGGTACTAATTGTTGGTTGTTAACTTGATTCATGTAACAGACATTTGTTAAACCAGCTTTCTTAGGAGAATTTTCTTTTCCATCTAAACAATAGGGTGATGATAGCTATCAAAAAGGTATCCTAAAAAACCAGTGGTTGATGTTCTTGACAAACATTGAGATAAATGATGTATAAGGCTCTACTAAGGAAAGATTAACCCCCTCAAAAAAATTTTTACCCAGGCACAAATTTTTAGATGTGAACTTGATGATAGTTCTAGGTGGCTTATAATCTATTTAAAATTGATAATTTTATATTGACTTCTTTTATACTAGCTGAAACTTACTCCAGAGTGCTTCCCTTGAAATATTCTTTAATCTTTAGATTTATTTTTATAATATATTTCAGTACATCCATAACTTTAACAGAATAAAGAACACAAACGACAAAGCCCCCTATACCTTTTGTTCCCTTATTAGTATAAGTAAAATTGACCTCTCTAAAAGGAAGAGTCTTTTGTTGAGTTGGTTGCTGTTAATATGGAACTGAATTCCAAAGAGCAGGGACATTCCCATATGAAACATCGGGGGTGGGAGGATTTAGAAACCAAAAAGGGGGTGGGAGGATTTAGACTGTGAAAGTACTAAAGAATTGAATCAAGTGACAATAATGATCTTACCCTGAAAGGCTGCTTGAGAAGGTAATTGCAGGGGTTAAAAAAAAAAAAAAAAAAAAACCCTGTGTGTTGTCGTTTAAGAAAAAGTAAGCAGAGGCATCAATGAACAAGCAAGACACAAGAGAAGCAGATGTACCAGCTAGATAAGTAGTCTTGCAAGGGGATAAGCATGGGTATTCTGAAGGCTACAATGAATTGTTTAGCTTTGACATATAGAGGAAGAATTTTTTTTAAGCCAAATAAAGTACTTTTCTTTATAAATTACCTACTCTCAGATAATCTTATAGGAGCAGAAAATAGACTGTTTCCAGATAAGCCTTTACTACTGCCAATAGGAACTAGCAATTAAAGAGTATTTACCATCTCTTGAGGCACTGTCCTATACAGTCTACATATACCTGGCAATACTCAGTACATTTTCATAATAACTGAAATTTACTTCCATAATTGAATAGCTAATAAGTGGTAGAAGCATGAAAGATTTTAACTTACAGACATTTGGATATATTGCTTAGGTATTTACACCTTTGAAGGTTGTCTATTCCTAGTTTTCTTTAATTTCTTTTGGCCCCCATGATTAGACATTAGCCTAATTGGACAGGGGTTAATATAACATCCATATAAGATTCTAAAAATCAAGTATCATTATTATATAATTACAGTTCTAAAAATAAAAAAGGTCTAGAACAGTGGTTCTCAACCTTCCTAATGCTGCGAGCCTTTCATACAGTTCTGTGGGTCATGACCCACAGGTTGAGAACCGCTGGTCTAGAATCATGAGGAAAACCACATCTCATTTCAGTATTTATTCCCATTTCATTCAATAAACAAGAACTTTGAAATAAAATATTTATTTCAGATAACATTAATATTTCCATAATTAGGTTAAAGTAAACACAAATTGAGTCCATTATTTCAGGTGATTTATAGTATAAATGACTTCCAGGAATATTAGAGTTCCTGAGTATGAAAGGAATATTTGCCTACATGCTTGTGGGAAGCTTCTGTAGCCTTTTCTTGGCAGGAATTCCAGTTTTTCTGAATTCTTCTCTTTCCTTCAGATACTCCATTTTGCATTCTTCATAAAAAGCTGGATCATTATAGCTACAAAAAGGTAATGAAAATATTTAAGTTAATTGTTAAGCATTCAGTATCAGCTTACTTTAATAATCAGACATCTGGTTCATCAGGCTCAATCTTCAGAAGTAGACTTTAAGTAATAGTCACACTCACTGTAAACATAATAGTACCAAACTAAAGAAGAGACACCATGACCCATATTTATATAGTTTCATGAGATAGAGCAATGAGAACCACACCTCCTGTCCTCAAGGAGTCCAGGGGGATATAGGGCAGACAAGCAGACTAGATTACAACCAAGTGTACAAAGTGCTATGATAGAGATATGGCCCAGTAAACCACAGAAATGTAGAAGAAATTGGGAAGGCAGAGATACCAAGGGGAAATGGCAGAGTTGCATTTTGAAAAACCAATAGAAATCTACATTAGAAGGCACATGGGGACTGACAGGTAGATGAAAAAACCTGTGACGGCAGGTATTGGTACTACTATAGCAAATTAGGCACAGAGGAGACGGCCTAAGATGAAGATGGAATGGGCAAAAGCCAAATCATGATGGGCCATTTATGCCTTACACCAAGAAATTAAAATCTATCCTGAAGTCTCTGGGGTATAATTAATAAAGCAACTGTAGGATCAGTTTTGTGTTTTAGATGACTATGACAGCATGTGGCAGACAGGATGAAAGGGGGCAGGCAAGGTTAGAGGCAAGATGTCCAGGAATTAAAATAATGCAGGCAAAAAACAACAAGGGCCTAGAATGAAAAAGAAGACTTAGGACATCAACGGGAAATAATGAATTAGAGTTAGGAGATAGGACTCCAGATTCTAGACAGTAGGAGTACAAAAAGCAGAGTTCAGTTTTGGACTTGCAGGGAGACGCAGAAAAGTCATTTTCTATAGAAAGTAACTGAATTCATGGGTACAAACTGAACTTTCTCAGATTTAAGAATAAGAGAACCCAGGAAAACACCAACTTTAAGGAGTAGATTAAGGAAGAAAAGGTTGACAAGAAGTACAAAAGGTAGGAGTGCAAAAGCCTTGTTCTATTAAAAGTACAGAGAGATGGGGAAATGGGAAAAAGCATTAAGGGATTGCCAGAGAGGGGTCAACCAAAAGAGAATACTTGTTTAATATGGTTCCTATGAGCCCATCAGAACCTTAAGGAGTGAATGAACCAGAGAGGTAAAAATAAAGGAGCACAATTCATTTCATGGAATATAAGCAGTAATTAACAAAGCAGAGCAACTTTCTTAAAGATGAAAAATAACTGTTTCTTAGTATATTGGGGGACTTAAGGTCAAGAAAATTTTTCCTTAATAGTTTTCCATTTACTTTCAACAAATGTCACATCCCTCTTTGTTTCCTTCACTCCTCATTGCGCCTCTCAACAAACAGAAACACAGCCTCCTCCCATCCTTTCCAGCCCTTCCTCCAGGATGGACTAGAACCTATTATTTTCTCCCTGTATTTTTATGGGATGGGAGATACAAGCATCTTTAAGTGAACAAATAGTAACAAATCAAAAAAGAGCTACCATTTACTGAGTACGTGCAAGGAACCATGTAGATGTGTTTACATACAGTGCCGCACTATCACTCCATGGGGCACAATTATCCTGTGTTACGGTAAGGACCTGCCATGGCTAGCTAAGCTCTCACTGATCCAGACACTAAGCCCGCTCAGGCTGCCTCTCTGCAATCTGTGCTCTGCCTACTCTGCTCCAGAGCTGCAGGGAAGGATGATATATCAAAATAGGAATTATAGGCTTGGTGCCTGTAGCTCAAGTGGCTAGGGTGCCAGCCACATACACCAGAGCTATGGGTTCAAATCCAGACCAGGCCTGGCAAACAACAATGACACCTACAACCAAAAAATAGCTGGGCGATGTGGCGGGGACCTGTAGTCCCAGCTACATGGGAGGCTGAGGCAAGAGGATCGCTTAAGCCCAAGAGTTTGAGGTTGCTGTGAGCTGTGAGGCCACAGCACTCTACCAGAGCAACAGCTTGAGACTCTGTCCCAAAAAAAAAAAAAAAAAATAGGAATTATAACTATAAGGACTGAATCTGAGGTGTAAAAATTCTTTAACACATAAAGCAGATTTTAACAACTCAGTCACACAAAACATTAAGAGATTCATGTACTCATTAACTATCTTTTGGGAGTGCTAGAGAACAAAGTAGAATAGTTAAGTCACAGAATAAACTTTCACCACCCTATGGTAAAGTACTGAATAACAGTTCTGTTCCATAAGTACGATCTGCTGTTGATGATATTAACTTGAGGAAAAACAAGAACTCTGAGTGTGTTTTCTCATGTATATATGTAGAGATGAGTTCAGATAATCTCTCAAGTCTCTTCCAAGTCTAGCATTCTAAAAAAAGCCTATTTATTTATGTACACATAATTTGTTATTGAAGAAAAAACACATAGATTATCATTACTTTCATTTTTATTTACTACTCAAAGAAATGTAACACACTGACATACATGCCTCATAGGCAGAGGGGTAAGGTATTAGAGGAAATGAGGGCTTACCAAAACTAACGTCTCACAACTAGTAATTACAAATACTAAAGTATTCTGAAATATTATCTGTCAATAATGTGGGTAATAAAACATGGGCAGATAAGACAGCACATGAATTCCAAGAACTTCACTTGTTCTTAATTCAAGGTTTAAAAAATTAATTTGATTAACTTCAAAATCTAAATTTACTTTTGTATCATTCATATTATTTACTTTAAATTTCCTGGAAGCTATATTAATCCAACAAACTAAAGGCTAGAAAAGGCCTTACAGATGTTCTAGTTTGGTTATCTTTCTATTAGAAAAAATAAACAAAAATCTGTCTATATTCTACACATCTATCAACTTGTTCATGAAGAGATTTATTAAATCACATAAAAAAAGCATGTATTTATTTTTGCTGACTTCATATTTTTAATCAAATACAATGCTGACAAATGTAGCTTGAAAAGAGTTTCATAAATATGTTGCTTTCTTAAGAATAATCTTCAACATATTGGAACTTTAGACTCAGCCAAAAATATAATGTATTTGGTAGGGGGAGGTACAGAGTACAGAATATGTTACATATGATAACATACCCTTACCTACACACACACTCAAGGAAGTACACACACTGAGGTCACTACTTACTAAGAAGTTAGACATTCTTTCAATGCAGAATTTTCTTTACGGCATTTCACCACCATAAGGATTCCAGAGTTTTTGCAACATTTGGTAAAATCTGAAATAAAATATTTAGAAGGAAAAAATTACTTGTCATTACACCTATACATATAAATATTTTCACTTTCCCTCGTACAGTGCCATTGCATCATAGCTCACAGCAACCTCAAATCTTTGGGCTCATTCTCTTGCCTCAGCTTCCTGAGTAGCTGGAACTGCAGGCGCTGCCACAACACTGGCTATTTTTAGAGATGAGAGATGGGGTCTCACTCTGGTTCAGGCTGATCTCCAACCTTGTGAGCTCAGGCAATCCACCCGCCTCAGCCTCCCTCATGCTGGGATTACAGGCATGAGCCACTGGCCCGACTACACCAATATAATTTTAACAAACCTAAAATATTCATTCGTCATCTATTAACTAGATTGCACTTAGTACAAGGTAATGTTCAACAAAAGACATGTATACTAGTAAAAGGCAGAATAAGATGAATGTTGTTCACTTTGTAGAAATAAATAAGACCTGAGGAGAGAGAGAGAGGACTTCTGAGACAAAGGGAGGAGTCTTCACAGAGAGACAGATAAAATGTAAAGACTGAGCAGGTAGTAGAGACAGACCATCCTGCTTAATGACAGGGACGCATTCTAAGAAATGCATCATTAGGTGATTTCATTGTTACGCAAACATCATAGAGTGTATTTACACGAAATTAGATAGTACAGACTACTACACACGTAGGCTGTATAGTATAGTGTATTGTTCTGGGTCTCTAAACCTGTACAGCATGTTACTGTACTGAGTACTGCAGGCAATTATATAACAGAATGGTATCTGTGTATCTACACATATTTAATACAGAAAAAGTTCAGTAAAAATACGCTGTTGTAATCTCACGAGACTACTGTTACATATGTGGTCTGTTACTGACCTAAAGGTCATTATACAGTGCATGATTATATATTCTAGGGGAAAAAATAAGAATCATAGGGGAATTGTTTCCAGACACCAGTATCTTGGTGTCCAGTCTCTGCTTTTCTCCTCAGTGCATGGCAAAGCAAGTGATACTTTCTTTGGCATACCTGCCGAGGCACCTGATGGCATCAAGGCATACCCTCCTTTTTCTTTTATTTTTTTGCTTAGAGACAGGGTTTCACTCTGTCACCCAGGCTGGAATGCAGCAGTGCGATCATAGCTCACTGCAGCCCCAAACTCCTGGGCTCAAATGATCCTCCTACCTTAGCCTTCCAAGTAGCTGGTAATACAGGCATACATCATCACACTTGGGTAACTGTTCTATTTTTTTATAGAGATGGGGTCTCACTACATTGCCCAGGCTCATCTTGAACTCCTGGGCTCAAGCAATCCTCCGGCCTTAGCCTCCCTAAATGCTGGGATTACAGACATAAGTCACTGTGCCCATCCTCCCTTTCTTTTATACAGCCCTGCCATAGGACATTAACTTCTAACAACAGGACGCACCCCCCCCCCAATTTCATTCTCATCAGCTCTAGATGCCCCCAAAATTTCAGATGGCTTTCTGTTAAATTTCCATTCTGATAGTTTACCTTTTAAATTTTACTAGCCCCTCTGGTATCCTGCCTCCTCATGACCACCAACCCAGAAAACCCTAATGCCATACTCCACAAACAGCTGGGCCACTTGACACTCTGTATCTCTTGTGTTTGCTTTGGGTCAAACTCAGTCCTGTCTATGCCTTCCATAGGACTTTGTTTCCCACTTTTTGCAGCTATTCTTCTGATCTATTCTGGGCCTTCTCACCACTGGCTGCTCTAGTTCTGGCTCTGCCACCTCTAATCTGCTGTAAGTAACCAACCATTTCCATGTCAGATCTTAAAATATTACATCATCCTCACAAGAAACTGTAGCCAAAAATTTATGTTTATGTATCTTTTACAACTTTTCTTTCTTTCTTTCTTTCTCTTTTTAGAGACAGAGTTTCACTTTATCACCCTTGGTAGAGTGCTGTGGCATCACAGCTCACAGCAACCTCCAATTCCCGGACTTAGGCAATTCTCTTGCCTCAGCCTCCTGAGTAGCTGGGACTACAGGCACCCACCACAATGCCCAGCTATTTATTGTTGCAGTTTGGCCGGGGCTGGGTTCGAACCCACCACCCTCAGTATATGGGGCCGGTGCCCTACCCACGGAGCCACAGGCACTGCCCTACAACTTTTCAAATAAGAAATTATCAAGATTCCTTCTTTTCTTGACCTATGTGTTATCTTCACAGCTACTGAGAAAGCATATAAATTCTTTATTTATCTTAAAGCAAGCAGGTAATTTCAGGAGTCTTTGTGAGGATACATACCTATAATATGCAAAAGATATTTTTAAACCATAAGCAATCAAATATAACTGAGTTATGTTAAATTTGGCTTTGCTAGGACAGGCTGGGTACTTGTATCCACTCATTGCGTCATAGCTATATTGGAAAAAAAAAAAAGGTAGAACAGGTACAAGAAGAAAACACAAGAAGTAACTTTAATTCAAATGATTTAACATATGTGATCACATGAAATTATGAGTGATGTGTAATATCGCCCTTCAAAGAAACACAGAATTAGCTTCCTTTAGATTCTTGTTCACTAGTCTCCGCATTCCCACCAGTGGCTCTCTTGCTCCCAACCTGGCCTATCAGACTCTGGACACAAACAGGTATCTGCTTTTTTTCTTCTTTATTCCAGCTATAAATGTTCTTGTTCTTCTTTTTGCAAGTGGGTTGGGTACACAGATCAAATCAAACAAAGAGAATTTCCTTTGTGCCTTTTTGACTATGGATCTCTACAATTCAAAAATCAGACCAGACTTACAGCCCACTCATTATCAACAGAGACACTTTAAAGTGACCACGTGGCTATCCAGAACGCCATTAACTTTCACTCTGGAATGCCTATCTACTCCTATGTCTTAAGTTTTCTACTTATAGCATAATGCTATAAGTATCAATCTTTATACATGGTATAAGCAAAGATTATGATTTCCAATAAAAATTAAGACATGGGCAATCCTCAAAGGGAATATGTACATAAAGCTAATCCATAATTGACTAAATCTGGCTAATAGTTTCCTTAAGAGAATTAGCATGTTCAATAGTGGTGATGAATTCCTCTGTACTATACCCTCAACTGTCACCTCACTATACCCACATCATTCTAGTTCACCTAGGTAATGTCAAGGAGAAAGAGTACTGGATCACAAATTTTGCCTAATACAAATAAACCTGCTGACCAAACCCCAATCCTTTTCAGAAAAACACAAACACAATGGCTATTTTTGAAAGTCTACTTTCCAAATTTAACAAACCTAATACTTATACTGACTTGAGAAATTCCCAACAGAATGATTAGGATTGCTTTGTTTTAAATTGTGTATATGTTTTCTTTAATATGAATAAAAATGTCCTCAGTAGGGAAGTGATATAAAATAGCATTTATGTGTTCTGATCACAATAATGGCACAATCTAAATATTTTCACACTTGTCTAAATCTCTTCAGGAGTAACTATGACTGACCTGAAGCCTCAAGCTGTTCGTAAAGTTTTTGTCACTTGTTTAGTGACAAGATTTTAATGAGGATCTTTTCCTCATCCTACATTAGCATACAGTCACATAATAGTATGTTGCCAAGATTGTGAATTGATTTCTAAAATGGTATTCTGGAATACATACAATTTAAACTGCCTCCATCTTTCAATTTGATGTTAAATGATAAAGAGTTCATATATAAAAAGAGTTCATGTATCAATCAAAAATTGAAATCACTATTTAAATTGTACATCAATAACGTAATTACCATTAAAGACTATAAAAATAAAATTTCATTCAATTAAGTCTATCTTAAATTAATGCAAAATGAATATAAGCAGTGAGTAGGTATGTGGAGACACTGTTAAAAGTTTTTCCAAAGTTTAAAAAAAGTGAGCCCTCTTTCATTTAAAATACCAAGAATACGAGTTTGTATATCTTTCCTTTGTAAACTTTCCATGTTTCTAAAAAACCACTTAATACAATACACTATTAATGAAAACATTCTTTGTGAAACTATAATAAAATTTGGATCATCTGGGGAAAAAAACAGAGATAAAGTCCTCTCCTAATTTTGTCTAATTAAGATAAAAGACATAAAATAATTATTCATATTATATTCAAATGCAAGTAATTGATAAAATTTTCAGTTTACTATCATATGAAAACTTTCTGAGAGCCTACACGTACAAGCAGTAACAGAAATAATGAACTGAAATGATTTGTTTTCAATTCATTTATTTTAATATTTAAATAACCCCCAATAATAAGGTTCCTTAATTGAACCAAAAATAAATACGATGGAGAAATAACTGCACATGGAAGTATTACAGAAACATCAGACGCTTGATCTTTTACCCTATTCTTTTATATTTTTACAAATATGCTATTTGAAACACAGGCAGTTTCAAACATGTTTTGCAAATGCACTTATCTAGTTAATAACTGTAGCATTCACTAAGAGATGATAATGTTAAAACATGCCAAATTAAAAGACTTAAACAATAGACCATATACCTATAAATACACTATCATCTTAATGGGTTTCAATATGGAACTTGAAATTAATCTAAATGAAAAACATTCAAGAGGTCCTGCTTATTAAAGAACATAGTAGGAAATATATAAAAATTATCCTAAATATATATCTAACAACTCTACAGATGTAAATTTTATATACAAATCTATTCCACTATTTAAAACTGAGTAAGATTAAACATAGGCATGTACTTTAAACATAACGTGGAAAAGATCTTTGGATCAGTTATTGAATAACAGAAGTTTTAAATATAGGACTAAAAATGATAAAATTTGGAGAAGGTCTATATTGCCAAGTTTTAGTAAGACTTCCCTGCAGACAAAGGTATCTATGGCTTTAAATCTGTAATATAAATTAAAATCTAAAACTAAGCTTTCTCAAGAAAAGCTATCTTCTATGTGAAGATTTCCGTAGTGAACAGTCCAATGTCAGGTCCCTGTAGACAATGCCTAAGTGTTGTGCCACTCTCAGTAATC